CCCCCCCCCCCCCCGCAAGTAAAATTAGCCTTAAAGTATTTTATTTGCACATTAAAGCTTAAAACCTCTACATTTATCATTCAAAACTCTTCTAGAACTCCTGGGTGGAGTGAGATGGCATCATGTAAATGCAGGACCGGAGTTGGACACTGGTCCAGGATTTCAACGACCCACCTTATTGCAGGGAGACCCTGAGCAACTGAAGATTTCAGTGTGTGTTGCATTAGATGCAAAATTTTATATTTACATTTTATGCATGAGGTATTTATTTACTGCCTATGAATATTTACGTATCGCATTACTTTAGATTCCGTATAAATTATGTATATGATTTCTGCTCTATCTACACGTTTATATATGTGAATATTAAAACATTGAAAGCAACCTTAATGTCTAACAATAGGGGTTTTGTTGACTATATTTTTATATATTCATGTGAAGCAATACTAGTCCTCTAAGATCACATTTTTGAAAAATATTTAGTGGCATGGAGTAATGCACTCAGTCTAATGACAATATACTGAGAAAAGCCTAGGTGAAGTCTTTATACAGATTATAATCGTAATTCCCGAAACAAACCAAGCCATATATACGTGTACATATTATACTCATGTTTGTTATATATGTATAGTAACAGAAGGTTAATGTGCAAATTAACATTGAAAATTGATATCGATTGACGTATTGATAGTTACTACATGCATATAACTTATAATGAGCACGAGTGACATAAATAACGGAAAGAAATATATCTGAATATCAATCTTGTTTACCTCTGGGTTGTAATACCAAGGGTGGCAACTTATTTTTCATCCTTTCCTATATCCCAAGGTTTCCTGCTGTGAGTGCAGACAGTAAGTGGTTTTTTTTTTAATGTTTATTTATTTTTGAGAGAGAGAGAGAGAGAGACAGAGCATGAGTGGGGGAAGGGCAGAGAGAGAGGGAGACACAGAATCAGAAGCAGGCTCCAGGCTCTGAGCTGTCAGCACAGGGCCCGACGCGGGGCCTGAACTCACGAGCTATGAGATCATGACCTGAGCCAAAATTGGACACTCAACCGACTGAGCCACCCAGGAGCCCCAGACTGTAATTGTTAAGGAGAAGATTAAAACGAGTAAGACACTTGTTTGGGCTACATGCTCTGTCTGCTCTCTGTGGGGTCGACCAGACCTCCTGCCCCGTCTTTCCTGGTGGTGATTCCTTGTGAGATTCTTCTTCTTCTTTTTTTTTAATGTTTATTTATTTTTGAGAGACAGAGAGAGACAGAGTGTGAGCGGGGGAGGGGCAGAGAGAGAGGGAGACACAGAATCCGAAGCAGGCTCCAGGCTCTGAGCTGTCAGCACAGAGCCCGACGCGGGGCTCGAACTCACGAACTGTGATTGTCATGACCTGAGCCGAAGTCGGGCGCTTAACAGTCGGAGCCACCCAGGTGCCCCATCCTTGTGAGATTCTTAATGAGGCAAAGACCCAAAAGGAGAAGAAGGGGGTTAGCTTGGAGCCCCCAGCCCTGGAGCCCAGGCGAGCCCTGAAACAAAGGTGTGACCATCTTGTTTCATTTCCATCTCTGGCTAGGCCATCATAAGTAAGCATTTTATGTCCTTCTTTCTGATCTTTTTGGCAGATAATGGTTCTCCGAGCCATTCCTCTTGGCTCAGGTTGATGCTGTGACAACACGACACTCACGCTGAGTCTAGATAAGGCTCTTCCAGGGGTAAGCTCTGTGCAGGAGACCAGACACTATGTTTTCTGAGACAGTTTTGAATTCAAATATTTTGTTCCCATGTTAGGTTATGTGTGAGTCTTACACTCTGGGTTCTAATTTTGGTTTACAAAATACAGTCATAGAAGGGAAGATGGATTAAGTTGGAAAGAGGTTGATGGGGCGCCTGGGTGGCTCAGTCGGTTGAGCGTCCGACTTCGGCTCATGTCGTGATCTCACGGTTTGTGGGTTCGAGTGCCGCACCGGGCTCTGTGCTGACAGCTTGGAGTCTGGGGCCTGCTTCGGATTCTGTGTCTCCCTCTCTCTTTCTGCTCCTCCCCTGCTCACACTCTGTCTCTCTCTCAAAAATAAATAAAGACTAAAAAAAAAAAGTTGGTAAGAGGTTTAGAACTACGCTTACGGGATAAACCATGTTTGTGAAGAGAAAGGTGTGCAGAATGATGCACACACAGATAGATCCTCATAAGCCAGGACTAGGCTGAGGAAGAGGGGGTGGCCAAAAACTCAGTAATCAAGAAAAATAATATGGAGTGCAACATTTAACAATGAAAATTAATGCAAAAAATCCATGATGAACAAAATATCAATATTTTAACTAAGACGAGGTCCAATCCTGCCTCATTCGCTCATCCTAATCCCAGCCCTGAGTCACAGCAAAGTGTGTTGAAAAATATAGATGAAGGGGTGAGCAGTGGTTTTATCTTAGTGATGGAATTGACTTTTTTCATTATCTGTGTTGTATAATATTTCTTTTCTTTTTTGTTTTTGCTTTTTAAAAATTGTTTATTTATTTTGAGAGAGAGAGAGCCAGGGAGCAGGGGAGAGGGAGGGAGAGAATCCCAAGCAGGCTCCGAGCCGTCAGTGCAGAGCCTGACATGGGGCTCGATCCCACGAATCGTGCGATCATGACCTGAGCCAAAACCAAGAGTCAGACACTTAACAGAGCCACTCAAGTGGCCCCGTTTTATAATTTTTCTACTGTGAACATATATAATTTATACAATGTTTTTTTTTCTTATAAGTACGCAGAAGATGCTAGATCTTTAGCTCAAAAGGTTTAAGTCCGATCATAAACAACAGTATTAAAACAGTACTCGAGGGGCGCCTGGGTGGCGCAGTCGGTTGAGCGTCCGACTTCAGCCAGGTCACGATCTCGCGGTCTGTGAGTTCGAGCCCCGCGTCAGGCTCTGGGCTGATGGCTCAGAGCCTGGAGCCTGTTTCCGATTCTGTGTCTCCCTCTCTCTCTGCCCCTCGCCCGTTCATGCTCTGTCTCTCTCTGTCCCAAAAATAAATAAACGTTGAAAAAAAAAAAACAAGAAACAAAACAGTACTCGACACGGTCCTAGGCTCAGAGGAGATGTTCAGTTAATATTTGGGCTCTTTTTCTCTAGGTAAAATACGCAAATTTGCTTCTGTGAAGAATTATCAGATGTCCCGAGGGCCTAAATCATTCTGGAAACTTTCTTGTCAAAGTTATTGACAAGGTTTTAGCATCTTTTCAGAGTCAAAACATTCGGGGAGGCACTTAGATGTGCACTTAGAATTGCATTTGTGTTAATCCGAACCCTTCGGTGAGGTTGGCCCTGGTCAAGGATTTTAGGCACCCCCGGAAGTGTCCTATTTGCTCCCCACCTTTTCCCCTCCCCTGTTGTTAAAATTACAGAATTTTAAGGTTGGCTTTTGGGTGGTCTCTCTCTGCTTCTCTTTCAGTGTTTGAAAGAATAAGATAATGGAGGCCTAGAGGGTCAGTCCTGGCAAGCCAGTGGCCCAGGTCCACTCTCTGCCCCCAGCTCTTTGTTCAGTGCACTTTCCTGGCATCCTTCTAGAGAATCAAGAACTTAAAAAGCTCAGAGTCAAGTGTGCTTCAAAACAAGGTAAAGTTCTAGATATGGTTTCTTCAGCATTTCTTGTGTTGTGGCTAAGCCACAGAACGGGAATTGTGAGGACTTCTGATGCTGTGTGAGGACTCCTAGGTTGCATATAATCTACGGGCCCAATTAAATACGTTATAACTCACTTATATTCTGGAATATTTGTAACTCTTGAAGGTGATGTTTAGGAAAACAGCATAAAAATAAAAATTTTCTCATGATACAATAATCAGTAATAAAGGTAGGAAGCAAATATAAAAATTAGAGTATCTTTTCGTGCACAGAAAGTAAAGTGGTATTAAAACCACCTGAATTTAACATTCTGTATTTGAAAGGTTTCAATTTCAATTTTTTATTTTCTTTAATTGTGAGTTTATAATAATGTGATAATGAAACATACTATTTTTAAGGACAGCTTAACAACCTGTTGTTGTTTTAAGTGTTGTATTGATATTACTGATTTTTAAAAAGACAAACAAAAATACAATAAAACTTTGGTTTAAGAGACTAAGCATTTTATCGTTCCATCATTTTCATAGCCTTTATGCTCATCAGCAAAGCAGAATGTAAAGAGTTATGAGAGGGCGTGAAATAAGTCACCTAAACCCTCGTTCATTTTTTCAAGTGCAGGTTATCGGACTCATGGGTTTGCAGGAAGCATCTGGCATTTGGAAATTTGGCTGGTCTGGTGTTTCCGGGCACAAGAGACCGTCCGTTGTCCCTGAACAAGTGGTCTGGGGAGAAGACAGCCGTGCAGAAGCTAATTATCCTGACCCGGTTCACAGGCACCCCCTGGTCCGCTGGCCACCGGCTACGGGACTCGGCCAGTCCCGCTGTGTGCCCTCTCCCGGCTCCTGCCACCAGCCTGGCGTGGCGGCCAGGCTCCTTCACCCCCAGACAGTCATGTGACTGGCTCCTTCTTAGAGTTCAGGTTCACCTTGAGAGCCACCTCCTCACAGAAGCCTTCCGGGACTATTCAGTGACAATGTTCCCCGCTGCCCCAGTCACTACCATCCAGACTCCTTCCGCCCTCAGGATCACTTATCACTTTGAAATAACCTTGGGCGCTTGTTGACTGACCACTTGCTGATCTCCCAGCGCCCTCCCCTCCCCCATCCCCACTGTCCCCACGTAAGTGCCCTAGGCCCAAGGATTTGACTTGTTTGGTTCACTGGTGTTTCTCGAGTGCTCAGAACAGACCCTGGCCTACAGCACACGGTAAGCTGTCAGTAAGTGATTGTTGAACAGATGAGCTTACGCTGCACGCTTCTGTAGTATTTCATCTGTTGTATCGTGAGGCTGCCGAAGCTGTTACGTGTAGAAGTCCCCCCTCTCCACAGGGGATACGTCCCCAAGCCCCCAGTGGGGGCCCGAGGCTTCAGGTAGATCTGAACCCTATATAAACACGTTTTCCTGCACGCACATACCTATGAGAAAGCTTGATTTATAAATTAGGCACAGTGACAGATTGACAATAGGTACTAATAACAGCATAGAACAATTACAACGATATAGTGTCATAAAAATTATGTGAGTGTGGGCTCTCTCTCTAAATATCTTATTGTTCTGTACTCACACTCTTGTGATAATGTAAGGTGACGAAATGCAGCGAGGTGAATGGCGTAGGCGCTGTGACATGGCGGGTGAGCCACGTAGGCGCTGTGACGCGGTGTTAGGCTACCGATGAACCTTCTGATATGTCAGAAGGAGGATCATCGATTTCCCCACCATGAATGACTGTGGGTAACTGAAACCGTGCAAAGAAATAAGGAGTGACTGCTCTATTTCTATAAACTCTAAGGGTGGGGGGGATTAAGTCTTGCTAGTCACTGGGATCCACTTGAAAGGTTTGCCCGGATCATTTTTTTTTTTAAGTTTCTTTCTATTTAATTTGAAAAAGATACAGAGAGTGAGCGGGGGAGGGGCAGAGAGAGAGAGAGAGAATCCCAAGCAGGCTCCGTGCTATCAGCACAGAGCTTGATGCAGGGCTTGAACCCACGAACCACGAGATCATGACTTGAGCCAACATCAAGAGTCAGCTGCTTTGACTGAGCCCTCCCCCCGGTGAGTCTTGCCCAGATCATTCTAGCCTGCTAAAGAGTGACGGTTTGTTCCTGCCCCTAGTTGGTGACGGGGCCTGCTGTAGGCAGAAGAAGGCGCTGACTGGGTCCCTGGTCCTAGTTTGAAGGTCCTCTGAAAGGGAGAAGTGAGGGATCCCCAGCATCCCACGGCCACTTCACTCTTCCCCAAGACCCACTGTAAGCATATCTTTTCCTGAGACTTTCCGGTCTTCTCCCTGTATACACTGCTCAGGGTTAGCTGGTTTCTTCTGCGAAGGGCCGACGGGCAACGTTTTCGGTTCTGCCACACCTCGCCATCGTGGTCCAGAAGCAGTAGGCGAGAAGCAGACAGAAGGCCAGGGACCGTTTGGCCCGATGACCCTCGTTTGTCGGGACCAGGGCTACCATCACGGTCTTTGGCTCTCTCAGATCCATTCTGGCCTCTGCGTGACTCTTCTTCCGAGGCCACAAACACTCTGTGGTTCCTCAAAGTGGCATGATGAGCGCTGAGGGGACATTGCATGTGGGGGGAAGGGACCCAAAGCCAGCCGGCACCGGTGAAACATGATTTGAAATAGACCCTGCAATTCTGAGACACGTTCTCTTGAAATGAGTTTACGTAACAGTGGGCTCACGTCTCGCGAAGCTGAATGTAACTGCTCTGTGCTTGGCATTCACGATGCTGTTCATAAGCAGGGCTGAGAGTGAAAATATCGACTAGTTAGCTCACTAATCAGAAGGCACGGGTGGTCCACACAGTCGGTGAGGCCACACGGGTGCGGGTGTGCAAACCATTTCCTCAGTGCCACCACCAGCGCGGTGCAGGGGTGCAGCCCGGCGGGTCGGAAAGCAACCTGGAGGCAGGGCTGGGAATCCCGGACGTGCTATCACTTGACAGACCGTTGAAAGAGAGCCTTTCGCACAGACATGTCTCATTTGCACACCTGTCACTAACGTTAGGAGTCCCATCCTTACAGATTACTCCCCCCCAAGATTTTATCTTTAAGGAATCTCTACCCACAACGTGGGGCTCGAACCCACAGCCCCGAGTTCAAAAGTCGCACGCCCCACCAACTAGGTGCCCCTAGGATGTTTCTTTAGGTTAAAGATCACCACCTTCCGTTACATGCAAAAACCACTTGGAAGCAACTAGACATGAATCGCTTTGAGTCACATGATCATTGCAAAAATTCTACCGTGCATCATTTGTATCGCATCTTCTCCAACCAGTTGAGAGAAGTCTTCCAAGAAGAAAATACAGAAAGCGTGTGTAAATAAGGTACTCGGGGAGTACGCTTTAGAGAGGAAAGGCTCGCAAGCGAGGAGCAGTAGACACCCAGGAAAAACTCGGCTCACTTTAGATTTTGATCCAGCTTTCCCTGAAGGAAGAGCCGTTTTCTAGCATGTGGACACAAGAAATCTTTCTGAGGTGACTGCCAGGAAACCCAACACTAAGTTCACAGCCCACCTCTAGTGCACAAAACTTGCACCTCGGTTTTTGTTTTTCTGTCCCTGTTTTCCTCCTACGTTTTCCCTCAAACACCTGGTCTTTCAGCATCGCATGCGTTTTGGCAAGCCGCTTCACTTCTGTGGGACACCAGCCACCTAGCTCTCCCTTTGCTTAGTCCTGCAGCACATACCCCGAACGCGCCCTAGACAGCAACCTTCGCCGTATGGGAGGCGGTATCCGTTAGACTCTACTGGACTCACAAGACGATTGCGGAACAGTAACAGATTTTTCCTTGTTTTCTCGTTACACCCTTTCAGGTTTTCCGGGGTGGAGGCGGGAAGGGGAAAGTGCACAAAGACTCACAAACCTGTGCCAGGTGGTAGTTGTTTCTTGAGGTCCTGGGGGTGGCTGCAGGTGGGGAGGGGGCTGCGGTGGAGAACTTCAGAGCCGTGACGAAGAGCACAGCAAGGCCAGACGCGGGGAGCACCTTCATCTCCTTGGGGCGGCTCGGCAATTATATCAGTCCCGGGGAAGGCAGACTGCGCTTTTGCACTTCGACCTTGAGCGGCTTTTATAGCGTCCACCGGGTCTGGGCCCTCGGAGCGAGGATGACTCATGTCTCAAAAGGTAATTATAGAGCTCATTTCTCTCCCTGATGATGGGGTAACACACCGGGACTCGGGAGTCGGGGAAAGCTTCGTTCTTTGTGATTTACCGAGTCTCGAAAGGAGAAAGACAGTCGGATTGAATGAAGTTTGTCAGCTGCTTACATAAATTGGGGTAAACTGGATTAATTTTAACCCAACTCAGTGGAAACATTTGATGGGCCTCGGTGAGGGGGGCCTTTTTCCACTCTGATGACAGAAGAAGTCAGTGATTCGAACACAGTTTAATTTGTCCTCAGTAGTTCTGCCCCCCGCCCCTCAAAACTCAATCCAGTCACCTGCCTCTTCTGCATCCACATTTCTCAGTAACGAACTCTGTTTGTGATGACGGTTCTGGGCATGTAGGATCCTGAATCATCAAGGAAACGTTACATTATACGGTGCTGACTTAGGCTGGAAAGTAGACTGAGCTGTTTGAAAACTCTTGAGTAAGTTGATGCATGAGATCTATATTAGCTCACCGGAACACTGGACAGAAGTACCTGTTCTCTGTGCACTCTGGTTACCTGGGCTCGTACTCTCTTTCCTGGCTCTGATTTAGATGTTGGTCTGGAGACGGCGTGGAGAAATGGGTTTCCTGGTGCAGAAAGCACTTTGGCATCAAAGTGAGACTCAATCTTGAGACACTTCCTAGCTGTGTGAGTTTGGGCATGTTGTCTAACCTCTCTGAACTTTGGTTTGTTTCCATCTGCAGAAGATTGACAGTACTGTGTAAGCTCAGCGTTCTAGGAGAGGCACAGCACACAGCGTGCTGTCTGATGGCCACTTGGCATCCAGGACGCGTGGACCCAAATCCCAGGCTGACACCTGTCCACGTGACTTGGAGCAAATTACTCAATCTCTTTCTGTGGCATTTTCATCTATAAAATGGGGTGGGGGGGGACGAGATCTACTTTGTTGGATTGTCACAAAGGAGAAAACCAGGTCAAGAGAAAGCCCTTCACAGAGTGCCCAGGGGACATCAGGTCCTACAAAGTAATGTTTGACTCATCTCTCTGCTTTGGGGCCAGGCACCTGGAAGCTTTGAACAAATGGATGAATGGATGACTCCATCGGTGATTCCCAAAGTGTGGCTCCTGGGCCAGTAGCATCCATGTCACCCGGAAACTTGCTGGAAATGCCACCTTGCTGAATCAGAGAGTCTGGGAATGGGGCCTGGCCGTCTGTGTTTCCACAAGCCCCTGGGTGATTCTGAGGCACGCTACAGTTGGAAAACACTGGATTCGTTGAGCAAATAGCATTGTGGGGTCTGGGACGGGATGAAAAAAATATAGGAAAAGTGCCAAGGATATCCCCGTCACAGAAGGTATTCAGTACTGCCCTTGCCATCCAGAGCAGTGATTTTTAGTGGTGACATACCTCGTATTTGAACGTCATTCTTTAAGTTTGTTGCAACTAATTTATTGCTCATACTTGTTAAGCCCTGAAAATGTATCAGTGGCTTGCCTTCCACTTGCGCTAGATTCAAGGTTATTCCCACGGTGATTTTGCTTTCTCTCTGTCATTCAGTTGCCTTCCGAGATTCTCTCCTCGACACAGAAGGGAGCAGCCCGTGTGTGGGGTCTCGTGAGTAAGCCAGGTCCTCGACGAGTGTCCGTCGCACGTGTGAACATTGTCTGTCGAGCACCCTGAGAATGCACTCTGTTGTGTAACAGAAGGCAAATCAGAGATCCACGAGACTCATTCGACTTACAAGTTGTAAGCTCCCCGAAGACTGAATGATACAAAAGTCACAATCAAGTTCGTTTTATAAATGAATGAAAGGATGTGCCACACATACTCCTGGTCGCTTTTGGTCTGAGGAGAGGAAAAGAGGTCAAAACTTGCATTTGCGGCTTCCTGTTCTCCCACATCTTCATGCAGCTGCCCACATTAGAGAGGAAACTCTTTTCCACTTGGCTTGCGTTCTCCCCAGGTCACTGCTTGAGTCCTTCTGATGGTCTTGAGGCAAAGGCAGCCAGGGAGCAGAAGACAGTAAAGAAACACGAGTCAACAGAGGCTATTCTCACCTACAGAACTCAGAGAGTTGCTCAACTCCATTTTTGGAAGCAGACTGAGATCAAGAAGAGGGGGTGACCTACGTATTTCTAGAAGGTTCCAGCATCCTCTCTTCTAATGCAGGAATGCGATCAATCCCTGCGTTCCCACTGGGAGTCTTCGGTTGTAACGTGCAAACACCGCAGAGGATTTGCAATTTATGTTCTTATAAGTCATTTACACATTAGTGTGAATAAGTTTCACCGCAAGGCCAGGGCGAGGCAACATCCTTGACCTTTCAAAAAACCATGACAAACAGGCTGGTAATTTCTCACTAGGTGTATCCTTTTCCCGATTTTCCTCCTCATTACAGGGGAGCAAAGTCGGCTTCCTTTCTATCATTCTCGTGTTAAGTCTTTATTTAAATCCAAGCTGTTCCAACCTAAAGAGATCATATTGAAGCCAGTCAACAAGTAAAAGGAAATGAAATGAGAGACCGTATCGTAGAGAACCACGGAGAGCACAGTATCTGTGGAAAAAAGATACACATGAAACAGGAGGTCGGTAGCCTTCGAGCAGGGGTCATGTCTGGGGGATCCTGCGGACTTCCCAGGCACTTTAAATGGGAGTTTCTGTGTGCCAATAATGCAAAGGGAGACGGGTTTAAATCACAGACTCAAGTTCACTACAGAGAATGCTTCTTGCCCGATCCCGGCTGAATTCAGTTCCACGGGAGTTTTAGCAAATCCTGGACGTTTACAAACCCACCATCCTGAGTGAGATAGTGTCTGCCCTGCGTGTGATGGGATGGGTTGATGAATAATTGTTGACCAGACAGCTGACCGCCTTGTTGAGAGGCACAGACTTGGTATCAGACAGACCTCGAATCAAACATCGACTCCCCACCTTCTAGGTGTGTTAGTCGTCAGTGTCTTGAGCTGTGAAATCCAGTTCTGGCTAATTTAAGAGAAATTTTTTTTCTCTAGGAAAAAAATAGCTGGTATCTCAGAATTTCCAGGAAGGCTGGGGCCCCAGGCCACAAGAACCAGCAGGACAAAGGGCCGTAGAAACCAAAGCCAAAGAGGGACCCGTTGCTGGGGCCCATGGCTCCTGTCACCAGACGATATGTCAGCTGAGCAGGGAGGCGGCCGCTGCCGGGCTCCTGGTTCCAATGGCCTCGGTCTCTTTCCCTCAGCGCCCAGTCTTCCAGTGTTGGGTGAGTAGGTTGGGCCTGGGTCACATGCCCTCACCCTCATGTGCAGAGTCAAGAAGCAGGAGGGCCCCATAGCTTGGCGTCCGGCCGGGCTGCAGGACGGGCTCCAGAGAGACCACCGGCCATACATGCAGGGCAACGCCTCCCAGAGAGGAAGTTCGTGCTGGGCGGCCAAAGAACAAACCAGAACCAAACCCGGAAAATGCCCACCGCAGTCCGGGAGGCTGTCGGCACGGCCTCCCGCCTTGTGACGTGGGCGCGTCTCACAGGACGAGGAGAAGATTCAAACGGCTAACGGACGCTTAGTGCGCAGGCCGGGTCACAAATGGGAGACCCCAGAACTACTTTTTGGTACGAATCACAGCTATTTCCCACAAGTATTGTGATGGGTTAATAAAAAAAATGAAAGTGAGATTTTTTTCTTAGTTGGAAGCAACCATTGTTCACTGGATGGAGCATTGATTAAAACACCAGTTGTGCGAACAAATAAAGCATCATGTCATTCTGTCCACAGCGGTGTCCCCGGTACCCAGAACAGGGTCTGGCACAAAATAGTGGTGCCATGAACAGTTGCTGCACATACGAACTCGCGGATGAGGGACTGACTAAAGCCAGTAAGAAAATCAAGATGGTCCTCGGAGGGGTAACTTTCAAATCAAACACAGGCGTGTAGCACTTCCCCAGGGTGTCAGAACTGTTCCTAAACCCGTATCATGCAAGATGTACGTTTTCCACACAACTTCAAGACATCTCAGTTTCCTTTTTTATGTTTGTGTGTTTGTTTGTTTGTTTAGAATCCCAGGCTCAGTGCTGTCAGCATGGAGCCCAACGCAGGGCTGAAGCTCATGAACTGAGATCATGACCTGAGCAGAAATCAAGAGTCGGTCGCTTACCCGGCTGAGCCCCCCAGGCCCAAGACATCTCATTTTTCTTTTCTTTTTTTTTTTTTTTTTAAATTTTTTTTCTACGTTTTTACTTATTTTTGGGACAGAGAGAGACAGAGCATGAATGGGGGAGGGGCAGAGAGAGAGGGAGACACAGAATCGGAAACAGGCTCCAGGCTCCGAGCCATCAGCCCAGAGCCCGACGCGGGGCTCGAACTCATGGACCGCGAGATCGTGACCTGGCTGAAGTCGGACGCTTACCCGGCTGAGCCCCCCAGGCGCCCCGACATCTCATTTTTCAAGTGCAGTGTGGTCTCCAAGATTTTAACCGAGACCTGCTCGAGCTCAGAGCCCGTGCCCCTGATAGTCACAGGAGCGTCCGTGCCCTGGTGCCTGGGCCCTGCAGCGTCCGGGCGCACATGGGACTCTGGGGCTGGCAGGCAGGCCGCGTGGCTCCCGGGCGCTCCTGGGTCTGGCCTCACAGAACGCGGCCAGCCCGACTGCCCAGCCCCCTGACCGCCGATAGCCTTTGTCCCTGCAACCGATCCACCATTACCCTCCTTTCTGTATTTCCTTCTCTAGTAACGTAGCTTACTGGATTAAATTTCTGGATGTCCAAGGAGTTCAGTCCCGACTGGGAAGAATGCCCCCCAGTGGGGCCGGCTTCCACCTCCCCTCAGCCCACACCCAGCTCAACACGGTCTTCCTTCCAGACCTCTCCAGTAAATATACGCCACTTTGAACGCCGACTTAT